CCCCCCCCCCAATATCTGCAGCCGTCGGGGTGCCCCCTTTGTGCTCAGGGCTGATGCACCAAATCTGTTAAAAATGAGGAAAAAGCAGCAGGTTTTGGCAGTGGGGCCCTCGCTCAGCAGCCTGCTCAGGGCCTGGCCGCTCACAGCATCGCAGTCCCCCCTGCACCGTGTGGGGCTTTTATCACCCCGCTACGTGCGCCAGCAAAGGGTCTGTGGGCTCCTTCGCAGGGAGAAGTTTGGCCCAGGATCGCTAGTGTTTCCTTTAAAATGCGTTGCCTCTTTCCAGCTTTTCCTCTGCTCATGTTGGCGCTAGGAGCGCGGTGCAATTAAAAACACAGAGGTGCGTTCTGTTTAACCTCTCGCGCCCTGCCCGTGGCCTGGAGGAGGTCGCTCCTCATTCCCTTGACTCTCTGTTCTTGGAATCTCCTTGGGAATGTGAAGCGAGGGTGGCTTTCCCACCTCCTTGTGTTTTGTTTTGTGGGTGCCTTGTCCCACTTCTGTGTTTTGGGGCTTGTTGTTTTGCATGGGCAGTTTGTGCTTGGCCTGTTAGAAAGACGGATGCAGTCGGAAATGGGTGGAAATAGGTGATTTATGGTCATGTGCATTCATTGCGGCTTGCCAAAGTCCAGGGCTGACACTTGAGAGAGGATTTGGGGAGCGCTGGGAGGTGAAGGGGATTGGTTACCTGTTGAGCAAGGGGCAAAGGGGGTCCCTGTTCCACAGGAAAAACAGCTCCTTTTACGTGCAGACAAGAGCGTTGGATGCTACAGCTTTGGATTTTTTGTTGAGTTCCAGCAGCAGCCATAGCGGTGACCTGCAAGTGGGAAAGTTAATGTTTTCACAAGCCTAAACAAGGCGGAATTATCTTCCCTGTCACGCTGGCGCTCGAAGGCTTTGCGTGTGATTGTTTGAGCTGGAGGCAGCTTTGTAGGAAGGCTGTATGTCTTTGGAGTGCTATTCCCGTTTGCACTACATCTTTTGTGCAGTTTGGAGCAGTTCGTCCTGTGTATCCTACAAAATGCTGAGCCCTCTCCCCACTTTGACTCGTGGTTGACTAGGTGAAGACAGGTTAAGAGTTGCCTCATTTTAAGTGTTAGGGCAGTTGGTGCTTGTGGGCTACAGTTGTGGATTTGGATTCCTGGCATTGATCTGGAGACACCAGCCATGTGAGTGGTTGTTGCTGATGGTGTTGGGAGGCGAGGTTCTGGTGCCAAGTGTGGAAAATGGACCCGCATTGCAAGGGAGATTTGCTATGGGCAGGCCAAACACACTAGTGCAACCGTAAAACCAAGTCTGCTCCGTGCTCCCAACTCGTCTGTTTTGCTTGCGCTTGGTAACCACCTTCAAGCGGCCCGTTTCAAATGTCAGCAGTAAAGGGGGTAATTAAACTTTATTCCAAGATACCGTTGAGCTCAGATGTCTGTTGCAAGTCACTAGAGCATTGGTTTTCTTCTGTTGCTCTGATTAGATGAGAAAAAAAAAATCATATAGAACTCACTAAAATTTTGATTTATGTACATTGCATTCCCGGTAGCTTGTCCGGATGAGCCTGCTGTGCTCCACACACTTTGCGGGACTCTGTCCTTGGTCCTCTTTGAGTGATTTCTCTGCGGATAAAATCCGACTCCTGCCTCCATCCCAAGGATTTATGGGTCCTCTTCAACTCCAAACTTGATGTTACTTGGCACTTTAGCCCATTTTGGCGTGTTTTAAGGCCCAGTCCTCATCTTCAACCTGAGCCTTGCTCCTGGCCCTGGGCATCGTGCAAGACATAAATTTGGTGTCTTTATTTTCTGTCCTGCTTGTCGGTAGAGCTGAAGTCCTCCCCCAGGCTCCTGCCACCTCTCAGTTGTGACACTTGTTACTCTGATCCCCCCATAAATATTTCTGCTCTGTTTGCATCCATCCAGGAGAGCTTCTCAAAGCCTTTTTTCTAGCACCTTGCTTTGATGTTGCCCCTTCCTTCACTTCTCTATTCCTTTTTCAGTCCGTCCCCCATCCCCATTCCATTGGACAGGGCTGTTTGCATGGTCAGGGCCCCTCGTGCTCTAATTCTGTGCCCTTGTCCACAGCTGAAGTGTTAACTCTTGCCTTAGAGCAGTCTATACCAGCTGTATTTCTGTTTTTCCTTACATTTTTATGTAAGCATTTCCAAGGATTTCCTTGCACTGCCCTTCTAGTTCTGGACGTTTTCTCATCTACCAACTTCATTTTCTTTCAGGTTCCTCCTCAGACTTTTTATTTGTGTGTCTAGGGAAAAAGACTTTGGCAGCAGTTGTGATTCTAAGATGCTACAACCCTTTTTATTGTATTATTATTATTTCTAGTTTATGTGATTTTGTTTTTCTGCCTTTACCTCTTGTGGGACACTTTATTCCCTGCCCCAAAGACCCTACAGTCTCCCTGCTTTCTCATTAGCCCTTAGTCCAGACCAAGCCTATGGCAAGAGCTTGTGCTCTGCTCAGTAATAATAATTAATAATAATAAGGGGAAATACAGCTTGCTTTTGCTCCTTTTTTTTTTTTTTTTCTAGCTTTTAAATGTTCTGAACTCTAGAGAATCTAAGAATATGCAACAGCTGCCATTTGCAGAGGGCTTCTTGCAAAGGATAGATTTAGTAAGATAAGAATCACACAGAATCACAGAGTTTTCCGCTGAGTCCGTGTGAGATTAAGATGAAAGTGCATGTGTTTAATTGCTGGGAGAAATGTTTTTATATATGTTAGACACATGTCTCTGTTCAATTAAGAAGTGTGAGAAACTTAAGTAGGACAATTTCTGTGTTCATTGAAATACTGAAGTTACGGACATCCTCTCCTTCCCATTTCGGGGCTTGCTCAAAACATTCAACTTTAATGACCCTGATCATTTATCTATGTGAGGGCCAAGAGTTTTCTGAAATAATTGTTTTCTTAGAGGTCAGACTTAAGTTGTAAATAATTAAGTTACTATTATGAATCACTATTATAAAGAGCTTTCATGCAGGAGGATCATCCATTTGCTGTGTTCAAATAGCTCTTTAGAGTACATGTTAAATTTAAACATGTAGCAAGCTCCATTTGTCTCTTTGAGATGTGTTGGTCCAAGTAGAAAATTGTGAAGTTTTGGAGGTGGAGCTAAGCAGAACGGGGAAAAAAAATCCCACTGGTCTGACCAGGGTGGGGAGTGATCAGTACAACCTCCTGCTCCTTGTCCATGTTTCCTCTCCAGTTGAGAGGAGACAGTCATTAGAGTAGGGTGATAGGGGTAATTAAGGAGCTGATGATCCATTGATTTATCCCGTGTTGCCTTCAGATGCGGCCAGTTGCATAATGCACTTGTAGAACGTGCTGCAGACACGAAAGACTCTGGCAGACCGGAGTCTGCGTTCACCCAGTCCGCACACCCCAGTACGTGCTCCGAGTTGTTCCCGGCAGAAAACGCGGAAAGATCGATAAGGAGCTTGCCGAAAAGCGAGGTTGTGAGGGGAAAGGGACAACAAACGTCGTCGTGTGCCCGAGGCTTAGCTAGGAATGTCCACTGCCATGGGAGAAGCTGCGCATGGGAAAAGCAAAATCGGAGTGACTCGGTGGCAAATTCTTCAGGATTGCAAAGAGCTGTAGGAATTTGTAGCCAAAAACTGATTAATAACACAGCCGGGAGGAGTGGAATACACGGCGAAGGTGCAAGTTGAATAGAGCTTGTGGGAACGTGAAGCAAAACGATGAATTGCCATCCTTCCTGTCTTCAAATCCTCATGTTTTATAGTGTAATTAAGTGGAGTTAATTGGCACGAGGGTCAGCTTAATATGCTACACATGCTGTTACTGTGTGGCTTAAGGAAAGGTTTGATGGAAGAATTTAAATTTGGAACCAAATGTAAGCAAGACAAAAATTAATTTGTTTTTTGGAAGTGGCTGTACAGAAGTGTTGTTGTTGTCGTATTTCTAAGAAAATATGAATAAATGGCCTCTAAATTATTAAACAGAGAAATTAGACCAAGTTGAAGGACAGGGTCAGTGTGCATTCAGAAGCTTCAAAATCCACCTATTGGATATATACTCTGGAGCATGTGTTTAAGCATTTTTCTCTCTTCATCTCATGGATGAGCATGTGGAATTTGCAGGTCTTCCCTTCTGCTTCCCATTTTATACCCATGGTCCTGTCATTGGATGCTCCATTCGCAGAAATGGCAGGGGAAAATCAAACACTTGAAAATATGTTAGAAATGCTGTTGACGTTACTGCTGGTGGATCTGAGTTTTCTTTTTGTCTCTAGCTGCCTTTCCTCATCGATTGAATCTTTTTTATCTGGCCAATGATGTCATACAGAATTGCAAAAGAAAAAATGCCATCGTATTCCGGGATACTTTTGCAGAAGTGCTTCCTGAAGCAGCTTCGTTAGTGAAGTAAGTGATTGCAAAGATTTAATGCCTTGAAAAATGAGAATTTATTTTACATTGCTCTTACATGTCAAATATTCTAGAGATGTTAGGAAAATTTCAAGGTGTTTTCCTACTACTTTATTAATTCTTGTAAGAGTATAGTCTAGTTTTAAACGTGTTAATTCACACACATGTATGTGCTTGCGTTCATAAAGAACTGTCTTGCTTCATATGGCCAGTTGATGCATTAAAATGTTAAACATGGGGTTGGAGATGCAAACAACAGCACTAGTAATAGCTCCTATTTCCAATTAGAGGGTTTTGAGCCCTCTAGGATGGCTGCTTTCGATTCTTAGCAGCACCCAGGTTTGTACGCTGCTATCGGAGGGTTTATTGTTTTAGTGCTGACATCTATATGTAGGAACTTTAATTAAGACTGCTTTGCAGAGGGTGCTCTTTCTTTCAGGCATTAGCAGAGCAGCGACTAGTTCTGGTTACTCATTTTTTTTCCTATGCAGTCTGCAGAGCTGTTTATTCAGCCAGGCACCTGCATGTTGACTCAGGTGTCTAGGGAAAGTATGCACTGAAAGTACTGCTATAGATGTCTTATTTGGCTTGGGAGTTTTGTTTTGCTTTTTCCTTGGGAAAAAAAATAGCTAGGTGAGTTATGCTTTTTATTTTCCTATTTTTTTTAACATTGTAAACACGGAATTACTTGCATTGATTCTATTCTACTTGCATTGATTCTATTCTACTTGCATTGATTCTATTCTACTTGCATTGATTCTATTTTAGAATCATGAGAATTTGTGCTGTGTGGGGAGAAAAAATGAAACCAAACAAATACACACCTACTCCTTTCTTCTTTTTCCAGGGATCCATCAGTTTCTAAATCTATAGAAAGAATCTTTAAAATCTGGGAAGACAGGAATGTATACCCAGAGGAAACCATTTTGGCACTAAAAGAAGCTCTAAGTAAGTTACTTACCCATTGCATATATCTTAATGTGTAAGCAAATGTCTTAGCTTATAACCTTACTAACCTTAGCAAGGATAAAGAAAATACTCTGAAAGCACTAAGGAAAATGCATATTTGTTCTTTCTGTATTTGTAAGCTGTTGTAGTAAGTGAACATTGCTGAATTTGTGTCGTATTTCTTGTGACGACTCTGAATCCTTTAATGTGAGTTGAAATTGTTCCAGCTGAGAATAAATTGAAAATTAGGCTATACGAATTGAAAATTAAGTTATCTTAGACCCTGGATGCTCTGATAATTGTGTCATGATAGAGGATTTGTGTCCTTGGCTCTTTCCTCTGAATCTGACTCTGCTGAGTCTCAGTTATAGCAGTAGGGTCGAGAATTGGCTGTGAAGCAAAAAAAGGAGGCTTTTTTTCCTGTCTGATATGTTTTAGTAGGAAGTAGTATGTTGTAAATAATACTGTTTGTCACATAAGAAATAGTCTGAAAGGAAAGCTAGAGGATGAAGTAACCTATAGATCCTTGAGTACACATTGAAAGAGCTCTTCTGAAACCCAGGAATCGTGTACTAACTGGAAGCATGTGCAGTGAGTTAAACCCAGAAATAATTGATACTCAAATTAACTGATTTGAAGGAAATCAGTTTGTCTTTCTGCTTTTACTGGTTCCATCATTAGCAGCTAAAGGAGCTTCAGGAAATCTTACATGTGGTTTCGAGACAGTTGTAGTCATTGCAGGAGAAAGGCAGTATTTTGGACTGAGTTTTTGGCATATGAAAAGGCTTTAGTTGCACATTGCATGTTAATATGTGAGGTTAATAAATATGTTTTGAGATGTGTAGCTTCTGTAATTGAAAAAGTATATGTATTTCAGGCACTTGTAAAGTGGATACTGTGGTGATTTTCATGACTTGCAATACTTGGCTGTTGAGTGCTAATTTCATAAACCTAGCATATGGCTGAATAAAAAGCCACTTTAAAGAACCAAGCAGCATAGTTGTATTTTTAGATGTACCTTTTTCTTTGGTCATAGATTGCTACTCATTTTTTTTGAGAAGTTTATTGAGCAGCTTGTTTTTATTACTGTGATTTTTTTGAAGTGTCTTGCTGTAAAGGGAAACAGAAACTTGATTTAAAAATGGAAGACCATCCCACAGGTTGCTGTATTCCTGAGTAAACTTAGGTTCTCTTGGGCATTCAGCAGCTCATCTAAGGAAGTTGGTCGAGGTGTTTTAAAACAAATTTCTGTTAACTTTTTTACCATGCAACCATATGGCACCAAAACCAGACTTTTAAAGGAATCCCATAATGCCAGACTGCAAAAAATGAAATGTTTTCCAGGTACCACTTTCAAATCTCAGAAGCAGCTGAAAGAAACTCTGAACAAACAACCGAATAAGCCGTGGAAGAAATCTCAAAGTAAGGAAACCATGTGAACTCTCTGAAACTAATATAAAAATTGCCTTCTCGAGGAACAGAAGAAAGGCTAGCCCCAAACTGGCAAAGTACCTGGACTAAGATACGAGCCAGCATGCATCTTCCAGGCTTGTAAAGCTCCTTACAGGGTAGTATGTAAAGCATCAAGGAGCTGTTGCTAGAGAAGCACTTTTTTAAAGGAATGAAGTATGGAGGAAAAAAAAAAAAAAAAAGCCTTTTTTGAGAGCAGAGGTTTTGAACAGTAGAGAAAAGATCTGGTGGAACCTCTTGGCAACTGGCACTAGAATATTCAAAGATGGAGAGAAGACAGACAGACAACCATGTGCAGTGGCGTCAGGAAAGCATGGTGGACGTTTCCTTCCTGTTCAGGAACACATCTTCAAGAGCAAACTAGAGGATAGGATAAAAGAAAACTGGAAGCTGACAGTGCAGATAATGAACTATTCAACTCAACCTTACCAGAAGTGCAGTCTAGCTGGAAATGCTTTTATAATAATAACCAGTCTTTATTCTTGTGCTAATTATTAAACACTAAAGCCCTGAATGGTCGGTAAAGCAAGATGATGGAACGTTAGCTGTAAGATGTGCCATATGCCCGCCTGTATGTTTGCTGAGATCAGACGGTTAACAAAAGGTTGTGGGTTTGGAAGCTTTTATTGCTTGGGTAACATCGCAAGCTGCTTTCCCATGCCAAAGCGTGTTCCATTCAGCGTGGCTGAAGGATTTAGCATTTCACTTCCTATCACACATTTCTCCTGTTTTGTCCAGAAACAAGTGGATTTAGTGTATCATGATGCTACGATTGAGTTTTTCCCTGTCTGTTAATAAGGTCTCAGAGGAATAAGGGAATTTTTGAGGTTACTAGTTTGGTTAGGCCTAGTAAGTAAGTAATTAATGGAGACCACGACACAAGATGCTGAGCTGCATGTGCCAGTGCTCAAGCATAACATAACCTTCCTTTAAAGAGGCATAAGCTGCCATTTGATAAGGCTTTTAGGTCAGCTCTTGCAGGGACTTGTCTACTTCCAGTAGAGCTGGCAAAGGTATGTGCAGGGAAATTTTCTTGGCACAGAAATGTGAAATTTAAAAAAGAAAAATTAAAAAGCTGTAGTATAATATGATAGTAATCACAGACAACCTAGTTGTGTGTGAACGTGTCCTGTGTAGCTATTGGAAAGCCAGAACACTGAGTGGTATCTGTTAGGAGGGAAAAATGTAATGAATAACAGCCTGTGAGTCTTCACTGAGTTATGTTACAATGTTTTTAATTTTTTTAAAGCCTTTTGTGACTTTTGATTAACATTTAATTGCTCCATTTTAAAAACTTTTTTTTTTTTTTAATTCCAGCATCTACAAACCCGAAAGCTGCTCTGAAGTCCAAGATTGTTGCTGAATTCAGAGTAAGTTTGCAAGTGGTGCTGTTCTGTTGCACCAAACTGTTTTTGGGCCATTGCTTCTGTGTAGCTTCTGTCCACTGGTAGTGTGAGCTTGAGTGGAAACCTCAGTGTTCAGTGGCTCTCTGTTCATTGCTATTTAGCGGCTGCTAGATGATTAATGTGCAACTTTTGCTAGAGCTGCAACCCTTTTTGTGTAGTTATGGACAATCAAAGTGTGTTCCGAGAGGTATGGAGGTTCCCTTGGGAAGCACTGGTTTTCATTTGGAAAAACCTAGTACAGGAGAGCTGTTTGCCCTCTCAAGAATAGAACAAAACCCTTTTTGATACTTTTAAAAGGGTTTTCTCCTGCAGTTGGTGTCAAGTGAGGTATATTGTCAGATCCTGCTCGTTAAAGTGCAACTTACAACGGGCTGAAGAACTGAGGGCAATAAAATTTTGCTAATTTCTGCCTTAGCTTCAGTCCCAAAATGTTCTTGGAGCGCTTCGTGCTGTTTGTCACTGAAGTAGGTCCGTGATAGTCACTTTGCAAAGTGGGAGATGCTCTTCCATGGAATGTGACGAGGATGCGTTTCTTTGATTTTTTTTTTTCTTTCAGCCACAGTCTCTCATTGATGAATTGCTGTTATATAAGCGCTCAGAAGACCAGATAGAACTGAAAGAGAAGCAGCTTTCCACTATGAGAGTGGACGTGTGCAGCACTGAAACACTTAAATGCTTAAAAGGTAAAGATAGTGCATACTGTTCACTGCCCGCTGCGTGGGTGCTGCTCACTGCTACGCTTTGCACGCACAGGGCAGGACATTGTTGCTCCTAATCAATGAACAAATCCGCCTGGGGAGTGCACAGTGCAGTGTCTGTCGTCTGAATTTTCCAGTTGCTGTTCAGGACGCGCTTTTGCGACCCGATTTTTGTTCAGGATCACTTGCATGATGTTAATCTTCTTTTAGACAAAACAGGAGGGAAGAAGTTCTCCAAGGAGTTTGAAGAAGCAAGTTCAAAGCTGGAAGAATTTGTAAATGGTTTAGACAAGCAAGTGAAAAATGGTCCCTCGCTGACTGAAGCTCTGGAGAACGCCGGTATATTCTATGAAGCACAGTATAAGGAAGTCAAGGTGGTGGCAAATGTAAGCATGTTTTTCCTTAACGAGCATCTGATGGGGACATCGTTACTATTCTGGGGCAGAGATGTGCTTCTGAATTATGAAAATAATTTAGGGGTTTGGATCTGTGCTGTAAACCTGGATATTCTGAAATGTCTGCTCTCTCCCATAGGCTGATGTTGGGCTATGTCTTTTTTTTAAAGCATATTGTAGTCCAAAAAATACATCTTCCATTTATTCAGAAACGGGGAAGAAATTTTGTGTAATTATTTAACAAATAGTTTTAAAAGGAAACAGAGATGAGATGTCAGGAAGAAAAAAAATGACTGTAAAAATTAATGGGTCAGAAGCTCAATTCTGATCTGTTACTTTCAAGGGATTTTGTAGTCTGTGCATTTTTAAAGATAAAATAAAGTTACAGTCTAGCAAATCCTAAAGTAGAAGCCACAGCACAAGTTGTGGTAATACCAACCAGCAACCTAGATGGAAAAAAACTTAAGAAACAATCTGAAAAGCATCATATGAAAGAGAAAAGCAAGATAAACTAGGAATGAAACACAAACCTGTTTGTTGGACAAGGTTTGTTCATGAAAATTGTGTTAACCCTGGAAAAAGCCATCATCGTTGCTTTTTTTCTTTTTTTTTGGGGTCCTTTCTTGCAAGTCAGAGTGAAATGCTAAGTTCTTCCTGCAAAGTTCCTTCTGCAGGATAGGGATAATTGGGGACTGAAATGATTTGATGTGTGCTGCTCTTGTTACAGAAATAATCGAGACATGTTATCTTCCCATAAAAGATATTTAGTTAAAATGTCCTTTTTTTTTTTTAGGCTTATAAAACGTTTGCCAATAGAGTGAGCAATCTAAAGAAAAAGCTGGATCAATTAAAAGCAACACTTCCCGATCCCGAAGAGTCTCCGGTCCCTTCTCCAAGTATGGATGCCCCGTCTCCAACAGGCTCCGAGTCCCCTTTTCAGGGAATGGGTGAGGAAGAAAGCTCACGGTCTCCGGTTGGAGGAAGCCGCAAGACGATATCTCCAGAGCCTGTGACAGATAACCGGGATGTGGAGGACATGGAACTCTCAGATGTGGAAGATGATACGTCTAAAATTATTGGTATGTTCTGTGGTAGCAGCAGGGAAACGAGCTCGTTGTGTGGATACTATAGCTAAACAAAACAGCTTTTACAAGCTCCGTTTGGGATGTGGAGCTTGTGCAAAACCCTTGTTAGGGCTGGAGATGTTGCACTCGGGTTTCCTTCTCCTACACCAGCCCTCCAACCCAAGCAGGAAAGTTGTGATCTGGTTGTGATTATTCCCATCTCCCACAGCACTCGTAAAAACGCTGTTCACACATGGTAATGGGAAGCAGTCTTTATTTCCTCAGTGTTGAAAATTCTGTGGCTCTTCATGCTGAGTAATCCAGTAGGGATAGATTGACAGTCCTGGTTTTGTTTTCTGTGGTGCAGTGGAAGAGAGGAAGGAGAAACAGGCTGCTCCAGCCTCAGCTCCTGCAAAGCCGGAAAGTGCCCCCAAAGCGGCGCCCGCGGCTGCTGCGATCGGTACAACCTCTGTGACGGTGACCACCCCTGCCCAGACTCCTGTGACTCCTCCAACACCGAAGGCAGTGAACACGGCGCCTGTTCTGCCGGCACCGGCGCTCGCTTTGCCAAACCTTGCCAACGTCGACCTGGCAAAGATCAGCTCCATTCTTAGTAGTTTAACTTCTGTAATGAAAAATACAGGTGAGCCCTGAGAAATTACTTGTGTAGGTGTTTGATTTTGAAGAACAAATAAAGCAGTTTTATTAATTTGGTAATCTTCCCAAGCTAAATTGTCTCAAACTAAGCAAGAATGGTATATTAAAGATCTAGCTAAGTCTTTCTGATGTGCTAGACATCCTTGCTCTGTGAGGCTGTCTGTGTTCAGACCATACTGGAACTCTGCTGCAGTTGTATCTCTTGAAAACTGAAGCCAAAACCAGTTTACGTTGACAAAGCAACGTGTGTGAGCGCTGTGCGCTTCCGTCCTAGGTGTCAGTCCCGCATCGAGACCGTCCCCGGGAACGCCGACCAGCCCAACAGCTCTTACTGGTGGCTTGAAGACTCCTGCTATGGGGACTCCGTCTGCTCCTTCAAATCCTTTGGCAAATATTCTCTCCAAGGTGGAAATAACTCCCGAAAGCATCTTGTCTGCTCTCTCCAAAACGCAGACACAGACTGCGCCAGCATTGCAAGGTACGAGAGTGATTTTGGAGCAGGCAGTTTTGCATGTTTGAGGGCAGTGTCGGTACTGAAACTTGGCAGTCATAAGGGAAAAATGAAGGGAAAAAAGCCCTTGATATTCTACATCTTGGGAATATTGGCCAGTCAGTTTTTATCCCATTCCCATACATCTTGATGTTTTAAAAATGCCTACAGGCATTTATGCAGGGTCCTGATTAATGCAGGCATATGTTGTGATTTATAATTGTATAAATTAATATATATAGTAGCATGGAAAAAATCATAGGATCACAGAATGGTTGAGGTTGGAAGGGACCTCCAGAGATCATCTAGTCCAAATTCGCTGCTCAAGTAGGGACACCTAGAGCACATGGCACAGAGTTGCATCCAGGCAAGTTTTGAAGATTGATCCTGTTATCAATGGATCAACCCCAAAATTTGGAAGTAGGCATATAAGATTGTCTAAAGTGCAGTCCTGAAAATTCCTTAATAATTTTAGAGAGAGTGTACCAACAAATATTTGACTGGATGTGATTTGATCTATTTAAATTATGATCTGGGTAACAGAAACAAGGGTTTAATTGGAGCATTTTCACTCTCCATTTAAAATCTAGTCATTTTGCAGGCTAAAGCCTCTGGTGGTTTTAAGGAGCAACACTGTGATACCGGTACAGAAAATCTCTTGACAGTGGTTCTAATTCTTTCCTCTTCTGAGAATATCTGAATGCAGTATTTTTTTTGCAGGTTTGTCATCCTTACTTCAGAGTGTTGCTGGAAACACAGTTCAGTCGAGTGAAACTGCATCTCAGAGCACTTCAGCATCACCAGCCAACACAACTGTCCCTTGTGTGAAGGGGAGGAATATTCCTTCCAATACTCAGCCCTTTGTATCTAAAAATTTTGGTTATTCTCCAAACTCATCTACTGCTGAGGTTTCCTCAACTTCAGTTAATAAGGCTCCCATCGGACATGCCCCAGGGCTTTCAAGTTCTAGTTTTAAGCCACCGACAAATTCCCTGGGTTTTTCCAGTTCCCATCCTACTAGTCCTTCTTCCCTTCTGCCAACAGAGACTTCAATGACTCAATCCTCTGAAATTTCAAAGGCAAAGCTGGAATCAGAGCCTCCTTCTCCAAGCTTGGAAATGAAGATACACAATTTCTTGAAGGGAAACCCTGGCTTCAGTGGTCTAAACTTGAATATTCCGATTCTGAGCAGCTTAGGGTCCAACATTGCAACGGAAAGTCACTCGTCTGACTTCCAGCGTGGTCCTACTAGCACTTCCATGGACAATGTGGATGGAACGCCGGTCCGCGATGAGCGGAGTGGGACGCCCACCCAGGATGAGATGATGGATAAGCCAACGTCGAGTAATGTTGACACTATCTCCTTGCTGTCCAAAATCATGAGCCCTGGCTCGTCTACGCCCAGCAGCACCAGATCCCCCCTTCAGAGCCGAGACGATGGCTATTCCCAAGAACTTTCCAATTCTGTTCACAGCTACCGCCCTTTCAGCCTGGGCAGAGATTCTCCAGCCAGCAGGTACAAGCAATCCGCAGACAGCATGGAAATGCCCTCCTCCTTAATGGACTCCTCCCAGGAGAAGTTTTATCCAGACACATCCTTCCAGGAGGACGAGGATTACCGTGACTTCGATTACTCTGGGCCGCCACCGTCTGCCATGTTGAACCTGGAGAAGAAGCCTGCGAAGTCCATTTTGAAATCGAGTAAACTCCCCGAAGCTGCCGAGTACCAGCCCGTCCTGCCCAGCTATAGCCAACGACCGCAGGAGTTCGGCGTGAAGTCGCCTTTTCCTCAGGCCATGAGGTCTATCCTCGAGCAGAGCGAGAGCTGCGACCCGCTGTCGTCCTCTCCAGCGATGTACGGGGGTTACGGCCTCAGGGGCAGCGACTCCACGGCTGACGGCTCCCCCTCGCCGAGCAAGAATGAGGTTTTTTTCGCGCCGGACTCCAACCACAATAACCTGTCCAAATCCGTGGTGCACTCGGGCTTGTCCCAGAAGCAATACCCAGACTCGCCGCACTCGCTGTCCCACAGGTCGCTTTTCTCTCCTCCAGCCGCGCTGTCCAACGCCGCGGGCCGGGCGCCCGCGCCCAGCGCGGAGAAGCCGCTGGGCTCCTCCGTTTCCGCCACGTCAACCATGGAGTTCAAGAACATGCTCAAGAACGCGTCGCGCAAGCCCTCTGAGGAGAAGCACGCGAGCCAGCTCCCCAAGGGCGGCGAGGGCCTGGGCAAGGGCGAGCAGCAGGAGGAGCGCTACCGCATCGAGACGCGCGTCTCCTCGTCCTGCCTCGAGCTGCCCGACAGCACCGAGGAGAAGGGGGCGCCCATCGAAACGCTGGGCTACCACAACGCGGCCAGCCGCGGCATGCCCGGCGAGCCCATCCAGACGGTGGAGTCGGTGCGCGCGCCGGGCAAGGGCAGCCGCGGGCAGGGCCGCGATGCCAGCCGGGCCGCCTGGTTCGACGTGGGCGCCGCCGCGGGTGCCTTCGGCAACGGCCCCG